ATGGAGTAGGACAGAAAAGTATATGCAGTTGTAGAAATGAATTGTAAAACATTAGCCATGTCTTGAAAAAGGAATACTTTATATTTTGTATCTTTTCTAATAATGCTAATCATGTAATATTCTCCATTACTCTTAGCAAAATTTGAAATTATATTTTTCTGAAAAATTTCCAAATTAATTTATTTTGTCGGAAAACTTATCCTCTTATCAGGCAAACACTTCTTACTTTGTAATCTTCAAATACAATCATCTATTCTTCTCTTTAGTTCATTTTAGTTAATATAATAAAACTATCATTGGATTGTTTTCTCATTCTGCCTTTAATATTTAAAAAAATTAAAGAAGATCAGAAAAATTTTGCCTCAGATTTGGCAGTAAGAATAAAAGAAAAAAAATCCTATGGTGATTAGTTGTCGATAAAATAATAAATTGGAAAGGTAAGAAAGAAACTGAAAGATAGAAAAAAAAGTCAGATGCATAGTCTAGTTGAAATGTCACCTTTCCTTACTGTGGCTGCATACAGATATTTGTTTATACCAATTTTAAAATTACTTAGAAATAAAAAGGGCATCAAAATTTAAGGACTTGATATGTGCTGTTAACTTTATTTATAATACTAATAATCTTGGGTCTTTCAGAGGTTCTTGAGTTTTGTTTTATTATGGCTGTGCCCCCATCTCTGTTGTTGCTGTTTGGGCTGGGACTCTTGCTTTGGGCCTCATCCCGTGACTCAACTAATTTTGCTTGGTCTTTTCCCCCTTCCCCTTTTTATTTCCTTCTTTTCTCTAGCCAATTTTATTATCCACTTCCTAAGGCATGAGATCCATGTTGAAAGGATGAAAGACTGACTTCGTCTCTCATGAACAGCTTTGGGGAGCCATGGGCAGGGTATTCCCATTTAGTTGTTAGCCCTTGCCCCTGAGGGGTGAACTATTTTCCACCCAAACATATCCTAGGCTTAGCATTACCAGTAATGAAGATTTTGTACCATCAGTAGGGGCATTAAGGCTTATCCCTTTATCAAATAGCCCCACTGTTTTTTATTCTGTTCCCCAATCCCAGGCTCTCCTATGACCACAACTCTGAACACTGCTGCTACTATCCCCTCCTCAATACCTAATATCAGCCCAGTTCAAATCACCCATCCAAGTCATTACTCATTCTCCATGAAACATTCCTCCTTTCCCAACATCCATTATTTCATCTCTTCCAGCCCTGCAACTTTCTTCAACTGCCCCATCTTTCCTTTTTACTACCCTGATTGTTTCTGCCTTGTCACTGTTACATCTGAATCCCAAGCTGTAGCATTATCAACCCTGACTGACTTCACTGGCAGTCCATTTCTGCCCATCCTCATCCCTCCCTCAATACTTGCACCAGAACGGTCTCCATCTCCCTAGCAAACTGCCTTTTCTACAACAAGGATTAGTCAGAATGTGAGGGAGACTTACCCTCCTGCCTCATGGACTATGATGCAGCATCAATACAGTGCTACACCATCCCCCTAGCAGCTGTCATAGGTCCCCCATCAATATTGTCCAACCATATCACCCCCCCCCCCTATCAATGTCAGATTTGTTGATGTCAATCCTGCCAAAGAAGGAAGACGTTCAAAACTAATCATGACCCCAAAGATAAAATGCCTGAACCTCGTCCATCCCCCTATCTTTCTACTCCCATTCCTTCTGCACTCGAAGTAACTACTGACATGCATCCATCCTCCTCCTTATGTTCCTCCTACACTCCTTCCTCCTCCTCCCTCCCAACACATCTCATTCCCCCTGCTTCATCATGCCTTCCTGCTTCCCCCTGGATGTGACCCTTTGCCACATCAACTCCCTTCCCTGGATTCTCTCCCTCCTGACATTTCCCCTGAAACTGTGAGATCTAATTGCCCTTAAACCTCTCTCTCTCCTGTGCTAATCCCTGCCTTCCCAACAGACATTCTTGCAGAATCATACACATCTTCCTTTAATTATTATTTTTTTATATAATCCCCCTTGTTAATCCTTACCTTCCTGAACTGTTATATGACTTTTGATGTGTCACATTTAATAATCAAATAACCCTCCCCTATATCCTTTTCACTATTGCACTATTATTACTTTCTATAGTGCTATATGACTTGATGTCTAGCACATATATTTTGCTTTGTAACAATTAACCATTAACCTTCCAATTGATCTAATCAACCTTTGTCCTTAACCATTCCACCTTTTATCAATCCCTATCCTAACCCATTTACTCCCCACCTTTCTACCCCGTACACTACCATACTATCCTAAATACCATGACCGTTGAAATCTAAGACATTTTGTTCTCATAAAAAACTCCTTTAAACCCTGTCAAAGTCCTCCAACATCGCAGGAAGCAGCTGCTTCTCTCACATTCCATCCCTGAACTAGTTGACCCAAGGTGAATGCCTTCTGAATAAGCTACATCTCCCCCTGCAAACTCACCCCTCCTTGCCATGGCTGAATGAATCTGACATTCAAGCGGACAGAAGCAAGCAATTGCCCTGCCTGCCACAATAAACCTCAAGCCAAGACCTCAGTTACCTCCACTCAAACCAACCCTGTCTTGTTCACATCTGGTGGCAAGCGATCCTTACAACCTCTCTCAATAATAATAACAGCTTGTAATGTACATGGATCTTCAAAGTACTGGGGACTTAAAATATACAAGAGGTTCTTGGTAGTGAAAAGACTATGAAACACTTAGCTATCTATAATGGTTATGTTTCGCAAACATAAATATTTTCTATCTTCATACTATGCAAGTATTTGTGCATTCTATGATCTTTCCTACCAAATATTTAGTCCTAATGATATCTGCTGCATTTCTATTTTGCTGGAAATCTTTTCCCATTTCCCAATATAATAGTTATACCACATGAGCAAGAGAAACACCTCAGAAATAGCTATTACTTCTTTCTGAATATTATCTACCATGTTTCAAGTTTGGATAAATACCCTAGTGCCCAAATCTTCAGAGTATATGATGAATGGTACATTTTTAAAAGTCTGATCTGAAACAAATAAATCAGTCATCACAATATAGAAGGCCAAGAAAATGCATGCACAAACTTATCAACATTTACTAATGAAAGCTTCCATACAGTATAGAAAATAGGAAGATTACAAGCAATTGATTATTGTTGCATTATAATGAGGGACCACATTACTTCACCAACACCACCTGCTTCATGACAACAGGACAGAAAAGTCACTTTCACCATGAAAGACAATGCATTTTTAATTTTCTCTTTTTTTTTTTTGTTACATGATAAAAACCTAAACTAGCATATGATAATGAAATGCTTGTGATTTCTAGTTGTTAAAAATTACAACGACAAATGAATTTTCTTTTTAAACTTATACAAATTACAATTGCTTAGCTATAAGATAAAATGGCATCCATAGACTTAATTCTCAATTCGATGATAATCCTAACACCGGATTTTGCCATTTCTAACCAATGCCAAGTAGCCACATTTCACCTTAAGAAATTTCCTTTCATTAATAAAATAGCTATTAGTATATTTTTGGAACGAATCTCCGTCCAATCTCAAAATCTGGCCATTATAAATTCTGTGGACAAAGAGTCATACAGTAATGCAAACTGACTGCTAACTTCACAGGATGTAATACCTATAAGCTGGCAAATATTTGTTATGAGTATTATTTACTTCTTAAGACTGGTATGGCTATATATTAGAAATTACTTATTGAGAAAATTTCAATATAATTTCACCTGAAGTATAGACCATTATTCCTAAATGGAGATCTCTTCATTACCAAAGATATATGAAAAAAACTTTTCCTTTTTTTAAGCACAGTGCTAAAAAAAAGATCCTATATCACTTTCTTAAACAATAACTTCATTCTTTAATACCTGGTAGCTTTTAATAACCTGCCCATTACTTTTCAACACTTACTTCTACTGTACTGAAAAAATTATCTGTCGAAATCCACCAGCCACCTCTGACATTGAGCATATATTCTGATGTGTATTTTTATGTACCAAACATTACTTCATCCAAACCAAAATCAAAACCAAATAATATTGAATATTTTACTTCAGATCTAATGCTCTTTAAAGTGCAAATACTACTAATTAATACATTTTGATATTCTGGTTAGTATACCCATGTTTTTCCAGCTCTTTAAAATCTGTCTTCTTTTTTGCAGGCTAAATAATTTACAGTGCAAGACACAAGCCCACATTCAGAATATTTAGTTATTTACTATTTCAACAACTGTAGAAAGCTGGGAAATAAAGATCATTCTACAATACTGAATTCACTACTAACTTGAGCCACAATGAGTATTATTGCATCACAATAATCTGAGCAATATACCAAAGACAAAACACAAAAAAAATGTTAAAAAATTGGATGAATCATAACTTTACTATAGTTCTAGTCTGCTCTGACTGTTCCAATTTAGAAGAAGACCAAAGATGAAAAATAAAGTACAGTATTTGCAGACGAAAAAGCTACATCAGGATATATCACCAGCAAGCGATGTCTATGGGAGAGGTAGATCCAGGGCATGAGACAATTTTAACATGGGGTTTATATCTGTATCACAAAATAGAGAATTTCGCTTTAAATCAGAACTGCCCTGGATGAATCTCGGCAGCAACGCGCTACAGACCCGGGAGAAAATCACTCGCCAATGCACGACACCCTCCCCGAGGATCTGCACATATGCAAGCGAGGGGCAAAATTGTAAGCTACAGTTTAGAGAACCAAGAATTAGCACACATGATTTGTTATTTGACTAGAAATAAGTGTGGGTTCATACACATTGCAGCTGTAAATGTACATAATTAAAAAAAAGGGGAGTGGCAGTTGCGACTACTGTATGGAAATGGAGGCATTACAAAAGAACACATACCTGTGGTTAACAGATATCAGCAATACATGAATTTTCAAAAAACAGTGTACATGATATAATACTTGCATGATTAGCAGCTCTTGGCTTTACTCTTTTGCAATCTAACCAACACTATAGTTTTGCTTTTATTTATGCAGTGCTTCCTTCCTGTAAAGAACTTTTGAAGTAAAAAAGGAAAAGAATGAATTACAGCAATAAAAAAAACTAATAATAAATAAATAATAATAATAATAATTAAAAAGAAAGAAAAGAAAAGAAAAGATACAAACCTGCCATCGTTCAATATTTGCTGCAATCCCGTAACCAGGTCAGTTACATTATAAAACTGTGAAAGTGAAAAGTGATTTTCATGGCAATGATTATCTCAACCAACAACGATGCAGGAAGTCAACATAAAGTGCCCTTCAATGCTTCACAAAGGACTAACTACACCAATCCCTCCCGACTCCTTACTGTAAGGATGCACTGCACTTCATACATAAGATACAATTTGTGCTTGGTCAAATACCCATAGAATCAGGTACAACAAAAAATATCCCAACATTCTGAGGTATTGACAAAACTAGTGTATTTACAGAACTTTGGCACAAAACAGAATGTTACGTGACTTTCCACTTACAAGAAAATCAAAGCTTGAATTTTCTTTATCCCTTTTTTTTGCTAAACTTACTCTATGAAAATAACTTGCATTCATAATATAGTAATATTGGATTCTTCGGCTTTTTTCTTTCTTTTTTTGGAAAAATGCAAATAACTTGTCTTCATTTGTACTTGGAAAATCTTTGATAAATGCGAAGATTTCCTCATGAACGAGAAGCGTAAAATGAAGACAAAAAAAAAAATTCCCAACGAAAGAGAAACAAACATCGAAGCTGAAGCTGTAGATGTTTCGCTTGAGAATCCCAGGGAATAGCAGCACTGGTCACATTCACTATTTGGTCATAAAACATATAGAATAAAAACTGTATAAAACAAAGCTTGTTCTCAGCCATCTACAGCTCTTGAAATAAAACCGAGCTTAATAAACTTAAAGCACCATGCAACATCTTATATAAAAAATAGACAGGTTCCTAAAACTAACTGAGATTTCAAACAAAAATAACCTTACTCTAGTAGAGCACCGGTGATCAAAGGGTGAGTGAAGACAACAGCCCATTCTACATCTGGACTTTTTTTTTAAAGTTTAGCACAATGTAGAGATATGTAAGCAATACATAGTGTTGAGATTAAATAAATACTGACTTCTAGTATTTAGCTGCAACCTGTGCCAGGACACCAGAACAGGACTTACGATACTTTTATTAAACACAGGTTATGCACTGTGTAGATCAGTAATCTGTCTATTCTTAGGTCTATTCTTAGAACTCACGCCTACAAAAGTGGTGGTAAAATCTGCGGTTGGTGTACCTAAAGTAATAATTAATTCCTGAAATAATCTGAACTCACTCCACGGGCTATCGTCCCACGGAAGCCAGTCGGCAATTATGTCAGGAGTTTGAAAAATAATAAACTTCAAATATCTCTGTCTGAATGCATCTGGATTACTCCCTATCCCTTTTCCCTATATCACTTCCAATGAACAGTGATAATAACAGCTATAAGGAGCAGATATTGTAAATCATCCATACTGGTACACAAACGTTAACCACGCATACGTTATCAGACTAATTCTGACGTCGATATCTCCCTGACGAGGATTATTATCTTGGGACACAAGAATCGTAACAAAACAGATTTGGGTCAATCCAGGTATCAAAAAATAAAATGTTCCTAAAAATTAATAATACACTTTCATGTTGCACATAATATAAAATGCCCATAATGCAATTCTTGTCAATGTGTATCATTTGATTATCCTTGTCAAGTGCAGTTTTTTTTTTTTCCATTCACTACAAAGTGGATTATAATTCTAAATATATTATTGATTATCATTAGAAAAATCCTGGAGCATGAGATCACCACCGACATGACAAGAATTGCATGTATCACTTAAATTGGACCCATAAGACACTTTCCTGCACTCTTTTTCATTTTTTTTTTCTTGCAGGCCAAGAGGAATGTCTTAATACTAGCTAATACAGCAGAATCACCATTCCTTCAATAAAATTCGTTTCTCTCAATGCTTTATAAGCCATACCTGTACGTTCACTTTCCAAAGCAAATACTGCAATACTTTCAATTTGAAAATACTATAAAATGATAAAAAAATCAAACTCTTCATCCAGACTAGACTATCAATCACATTATACCGTTCAACTTTAAAAAAGCACAAACTCATCTTGCGATTTCATGTGAAACACAAAGTCCAACTCATTCTAACACTGTGCAATCGCTCATTTCCTCCGCATCACTCTTCTTCCTCCCTACCTCCGTTTCTTCTACCTGCATGGGCATCCTCACTACCGTTTTCTCGTATATGGGGTTCTGGAAAGTGTCGAATTTGCGCCCTAACCCCAGGCGGACGGGGTATCTTTTGCGGTAAACGACGATGGATGTGATGACAATGATGATGAAGAGAAGAAGGCCAGCTGCTCCAATGATGATGTACATGGTTAAGTCATCTTCTAGAGAGATGTTCAGTAAGCCTGTGAAAATGCCCAGCTGGTTATCGTCGTCGTCTAGAGCTTCCGTCGAGTTTATCACCGGTGGCAAGTTGGTTAGTTCCATCTCGTACTCGTCCACCTCCCCCCGGGAGTGGTTCGTCAGCATCTCGTGGTGTGCGTCTGTGTCATAGTCCTCGTAAAGGTCTTTGGCTTCGGTTTCCTTCTCTTCTTCTTCGTCATTCTTGAGGTCTTGTTCTGGGAATAAAACTCCAGGCTGAAAGGGAAGTGAGGAAAGTCAATGAAGATTTGAGGGGGGGGGGGGGGGGAATATAGAAGAGAATACAAAAGGGTTTTTTGCATAACAGGGAAGGAACAAGTTGTCCTTTTTTCTGAAAAGCCAACAAGGCAGTGAGTATGAAGAACAGAGGTTTCACTGAGACAATTGCAGAAGAAGGTATGAATGAGAATGAATACTTCCACAGCACAGGAAATGTAACTGACACTCTTTGATTAACTCTCCCTCAGAATGATGCGTTTTTCTAATACACATGTAATTTAACCAAGATGTATCAATTAAATATCTTTCTTTGTAAAAGTATTCATTTTTACCTATACTGTTTGCTATATATGAATATGAGGTTCAATATATATAAAAAAAAAAATCAGAATGGGGGGGGGGATGAATACAAGAGAAGAGACAGCTCAAAACCACTTGCAATGAAAGAAGCACAAGCATCAATCAGCACAAAATGCAAACAGACTGCAATAGTGTGCAATAACTAATTCCAACATACAGCCTCACAAACCAAAAAAACTGACAACTTAGAGAGAAAAAAAAAAATTAACAGTGCTCGAACAAATAAAAAAAGAAAGAAAAAAGATGGTACACTCCACACATACAGCAGCAAATGAAGTGAATTACACCATTTGATCTTTTAAATTGGTTAGTAGGCCCAGAAAATCATACAATGAAAGTCCACACCACCATTCAGTTTAAGGAAAACACACAAGTCTTCTCTCTGGTTTTTTTAATACTCCATCTCCTTGTCTGCTGTGTTTTCAATGAAAGAAAAAAAGAAAAAGGTAATAGCACACAAGGTTTAATTATTTCCAGTGAGAGCAAATGAACAATCCTGATTTTATATAAACAGTGCAAAACATCTGCTACGGTTTGATTGAAGAAAGTGGTTGGCAGACAATAAGAAGTTATTTATAGATTAATTGCTTAAAGTTGAAATATCATGCCCTGTGGTGCAACAATGGGGTGTAGTTAGGCATTACTTTGACTTCATATTTTCACTAGGTCTTGTGAGAGGAAGGACAAGAGAGGCAATTTCATTTGTTACAAGAAAGAATATCAATAGAAATGAAAATCATGTCTATACAGATTATTTTACCTATTCTCTACATTCACTAACCTACTATTAGTATTATGTGGCAAATGAAAGGCAGAACACTTAAGTCACTTGCAAGTATGCCTGATAGTGTGTACAGTATACTATTTAAAGGTCTACCATGCTTATCTAGTCTGTTGTACAAAGCTTAATAATAATGTCAGCTTTACAAACAATGTTCTATCATTACTTTACTAGTGCTATTAAGAAAGGTTACAATAACAACTCCATAATTCAGCATTCCATAATTTCCAGCTACTATGTTAGTCTTTTTTTTTCTCCAGTATGAGGAACTTTGATGGTATTACTTCATATTGATAAATACAAGTTGTATGTATAACTGTACTATTCTTCACACAAAGGGGAAGTATATTCATAGGAAAGGTATATGCTGTATGTTTTTCCAATACATTTAGGGGCTTCTCCAGGTAAAACACTCTTTCAGCAACATTCTACAATAAGTAACACAAACACACTTAAAGAGAACGCATAGCACGAACAAGAAAAATGTCTACACACACAAACGCACACGTATCCTTTTTAAAATTTCCAATCCAAAAGGTATTACCATGTGGTGTTTGTTTGGAATTTCGGCATAAATTTGGCCCATTCTCTGCTGAATCATGGAGGTTTTACTGTATCAAGCAAACCAACTTTGTTTCAGGCAATGGTCAGGTAATCACTCAGCCATACAAAGTGAACCACTGTGTACTATGTTTGCTGTTTTACTGTTTTACTGTTTATCTCTGTGTGTCTTTTACTGAAGCCAATACAATAAGTTGTTCACTCGCTGTTGGTCCGTTGTTTTCATACCGAGCCGGCGAGGATGCACTCACCATCTTTCCGTGTGGTTCACTGTCGGGAGCAGATATCAGGAATGTGCCATTCTCTGAGGTCAAACTACTGCCATTCACACTGTCCGAAATTTCTACTGATCCCATTGGGGCATCAGACATCAGTTTATCCTGAAATGTATCAAAACTTGAAAATCTTTACCTCTCTTCAAAAATGTGTCGAGGGCCTAAATTCCAAGTGGTAAAAGAGGGATGGGGGAGGAGGGGGGAAGGGGGAAGGGGGAAGGAGAGGGCAGGGAAGGTAGGTGTCCTTGAGGGAGAGGGGAGAGGAGAGGGGAGAGGGGAGAGGGGGGTGGGTGTGGAAGTGGGAGTGGCGGTGGGGTTCATTGCGAAACTCTTTCCAAACACAAAGATGGTTATTTGCACACACAGCCACGGAAAAAAAAAAAAAAAAAGAATGAAGAAGAAGGATCATGCATTACACAATCTGAAAGTCCTTGAAGAGAAAACGGAAGCACAGACGTCAAAAGGAGATCTAAAACAGAACACATTCCAAGCTTTGTGCAACATCCCTGCAACTCACACACGAGCATTTTTTTTTTTGTACAACACCTGATGAGGTCTCTAGCATCTAATCTTGGTATAGTGACAATCCAAACAATTACAAACATGTAGATTATATATAGATCTACTTATCTGTATATATAAACAAGTGTACATATATATATATAGTGTATATGCTATCATCAGAGAATAAGAAAAAGTGTAGAGTGTCTGTGTATTGGTGAGGATGTATGACAAGTGTATGTTTGAATGAGTATACTGAACTCTATACATAAGATGACATATTTCACTTGTTTGTGACTTCAACTAATCAACTGCTCTTTTAATCATCAAAAATACTTGCAGTTGCTTGTAGATCTTGACATATGCCTGTAAAACTAACGTTCCCTCTGTCATTTCTCACATATATTAACCCACTGTTGATGACATGGCAAGAAACTTACATGATTTCTTCTCCAATTCAATATCATGTATTGTAAATTAGGATAATGGAAGGACATCCTTAGACTGACAACCCTAAAATAACACAATTGTACTGTATGTAGATTGTTTCTCAAGTTACCCTGGACAGGAGTATCAAATCAAAATTTCATTATCTATTCACCTATTTTCCAATTTCGGGTTATAATCAATGATGTTGAGTATTCCAAATATTTTGAGTAAATATTTTGCACATTAAGCATATGAATACTTTCTGCTATTTGCTGATCTATCATTATTATTATTATTATTATCATCATTTCTTATTTATCTATTTATTTTTTTCAAGCTAACCCATGACCCTTACTAACATCCTGTGGTTTCCATTTGTGTTGTTGCAAACAATGTCTTCAACTGAAATAAAGTGTTAATTCTAGTAGATCACATTTTTCTAAAATTCAAGAGGAACCAAGATAGGTTTCATCAAGTTTCTCAACTAGCTTTAAACAGTTTCATTAAATAAAAATCTATCTATCAATCAACAAAATCAATCATCCTAACACTGCATGGCTCACAGTTTCTCAGCTCTAATGCATGTCTAAATACACTGCACTGGCCACTCACAGAAGCAGCTGATCCATGCTATAGTTCAGAGCTCCCCTAAAACAGGCCTATGAAAAAGGCAAAAAAGGTTATAGCCGTTCTTCTTCTTCCCATAAGCATATGACAAGTACAGTGAATGACAATAGCTGTGTTGTATCTTTGTCTGACAATTGTGAATAAAACCTTTGAAACTATATGGAGGACCTAACAGAATTTACTAGGTGTTTGGTACGTGACCAAATTAAACAACACAACTTTTGTATCTGACTATACATACGGTATTTCAAGACCATATGACAGCTGTTCCAGTACGATGCACCCTAAAAGGTAACAGCTGTGACGTCATTCTCCTCTACCCAGGCTGAATCACCCAGAATTATAATCTGCTATACTCATGACATGGCAGGAAGAGCACGAAATAAAAGGAATGCTCCCATATCTTTACCAAACCAGCATGTGTTGTAAGCTTACCAGATAGCTCTACCACAATTCTAGGGTCCTATCATACCAATCAAGTAAATTCCAGTGAATGCTTTCTTGATGAAACGTCAGTGATAATGGATGTTCCATGTAGATACTTCATCCAAAAGCACCTTCCATATTTTGGTTAGAGCAGGCAAACAGTTATGAACACCAGCAAAGTGAATGAATATCGAATCATTGACATCAAATTATTCGGCAAAGTATGTCATGATAAAATCTTACATCCACAAGGTCTTGGATTAGTCACCATTCTGTCAAATTCCCTCGCCGTTAAAAATGTAGGCTGGCAGAAGAGGAGGATATCTCGACGGTGTATATAAAGTGTGTAAAACTTAAAACAACAAAAACAGAATAACAAACTTCCCTTCCAAGGTAATTATGACTGCCTTGGGCAATGCACATCTGCATCTGTGATTTTCATTTATGATTAAAAAGTTATATTAGTTATTGTTGGTTAGTATATTAATTTATTTACTAACAGAAATTGTTCATGGTGATTAGCATACCACTGCCTTACCTCTTTTCCACATTTCACATGCACATCTCTAAATGCATTGAGAATCCCGGTTAGGAATCCAAACAGAGTACTGTATCAATGTGAACTGTATTTGCTGTACAATAATAAGGCCTGTAAATCTAGCACAAAAAAAGGCTTCCCGTAAACTGATGGAACTTAAAAAGTAATTCAAGGAGGAACACTGAGTTTTCCATGATAAAGTTATTTCTTAGAAAATTTTTACAAATTTATTTATTTATTTATTTTTTTTATCCTAGCCTTTCTATAGCAAATTTCTGAGCTTGCTGAAAGAACAAAACCCAATGGCACATTCCCCAAGGCCATTACTGTGTCATATTCCAGACAAACAAAAATAAATCTAGACTGTTTGAGTCCAGCTTTGAGTTCATGATTTTGGCTGTACAAAGAGGAAAAAAAAAGAAAGAAAAGATATGAAAACAAGAAAATAATGACATTAATAATTTAAAAATCATAGAGAAATCATTGTTGTGTGTTATGCATGACCTCCATTCCTAACATGAGAGATACATGAAGAAGAGTGCATGAGAAAGATATATGAACCCTTTGGCATAAAAAAAAATAAATAAATAAAAAAAATAAAAAAATAAAAGAGAGAAAGAAAAAAAGAGAGAGGAGCTTTTGAAAGTCATGTGACAGTTCTGATTCTGAAAGAGACTGAAGCTAAAATCTCACACTCGTCCTTTTTGACATGTCTGCCTAAATACCACAGCCGAATGACAGAAAAAAAAAAAAAAAAATTCTGGTGCACAAAGAGTAGCAACAGTGCTTAGGGATACTTAGGATGTTTAGCAAAAACACCGTTAACTGAATGGGGAAGTTTAGAGATGCCTTCACAGTGAGAGGTTTGTGCACCAAAAGGATCCTCGCACAAGTAATTATGAGGGAAAGCGAAGGTAAACATGGCAACTCTCCTGGAGCTTCATGTTGGCTTTCCGGTATGAGGAGTTGGGGTTCACATGCCTATGTTGGAGACAGAGGGATGCATTTTCTTTGGTGGGGTTCAGTGTAGGTGATCATATTTCTTATGGGAACAAGATGAGAGGGGGGAAAAGAGAGAGAGAGAATTGATTGATCACCTCCACATGAATAGCAAAATATAAACATTATATATATATATATATATATATATATATATATATATATATATATATATATATATATATATATATATATATATATATGCATATACTTATACATATATACACAGATATACACACACACACATATACATATATAAATATATACACACATATATATGTATATGTATGTATACATGTATATATGTATGTATGCACATGTATATGTATGTATGTATGCATATGTATGTATGTATGTATGTATGTATGTATGTATGTGTGTGTGTGTGTGTGTATGTATGTATGTATGTATGTATGTGTATGTGTGTGTGTGTATGTATATATGTATGTGTATGTGTGTATGTGTGTATGTGTGTATGTATGTATGTATGTATGTATGTATATATGTATGTGTATGTGTGTATGTATGTGTATGTGTGTATGTATGTGTATGTGTGTATGTATGTGTATGTGTGTATGTATGCATGCGCTATATATATATATATATATATATATATATATATATATATATATATATATATATATATATATATGTATGTATGTATGTATGTATATGATGCAGAACCAGATTGAAAATGGAGGGAAATGGAGAGATACAGAAAAAAGGAAAGGGGGAACAGATTGGGATTGAGGAAGGGGGAGGAAGAGGAAGAGGAAGAGGAAGTGGAAGATTAAGAGAAAGAGAGAAAATACAGTCTATATCATTCTTATTAAGCTTATCCTGCTTACCTTGTGATGGGAAATGCACACAGGTGGTTCTTCCCACGAACGATTTTTGCACCGGATCTCTGACGGGCCCAGCAAGCTAAATCCTTTGTCACAGGAATACAAGGCAACTGTGCCAGACTCTTGACGTTTAAAATTAACACTTCCGTTTTTCACCGCCGGCGGAAGGAGACACAGATCGACTTGCGTTGTAATGGACAGCGATCCCTTCTTGGCAAGCTTCTGTGTGTTGTGGTAGACTATGAATACAGTGTCGGCTTCCGTTTGCAGACTGTACTCGTTCCCAAAGGTCGGGCACCATTCCACGTCCCACTTGGGGTTGAGCAGCGACTCTTCGTACACCGTGATGTGGGGCCGAACGTTCTGCGAGAATCTTAGGGTCATGTGCTTGCGCTGCTCCGTGTTCAGCTCCCATATACAGGTCTCTGTTGGAGATTCTGGTTGGAATTTGTGTTCTATTTTCTCGTTTGATGTGTCTGGGGACACGATGCTGTCGGTGCAGCTTGCAACAATGCAGAGGGTCTCTCTGTCCAGAGAAGTGGAGCCTACGGCACAGGTATCCCCAGAGAGTGGAAAGCTGACCCAAAAGCCGTCCTCACAGTCAGAGGGGGCTTCCAGGTCTGGCAGCTTGCTATCAATGGTAAGACTAATGTTAAGGTTTGGAATATTTTGGCACACACTCTCTCCCTCAGTCAATCCCTGGTACTGGGGACTGAGCCTCACGTACAATTCAAACATGGATCCGCTAGGCAAGGTAACACATTCGTGGCATTCGGTTTCACTGGCCTCTCCCTTGTCTGCGCCTTCGAGATTGCCGAAGGCATCACAACCTCCACAATCATCTTCAATGAGCTTTTGCTTGCTGTCTAAGTAAACCATTACCGAGCCTATGCCATTTAGCCTAAGTTTGTTAAGGTTCACTTTAAACCCATCTGCTGTTGGAAGGGAAAAGGCGTTGCTGTGCCTGGGAAGATAAAAGATGCAGAAGGTCGGCGAGATGGGGGGGGGGGGGCTTTGGGAATCTTGGTGTCTTGGTGGTGTTTCTAGGTGGAGGCAAAGAAAATGAAATGGGTCATGTCAGAACGGGAGAGGAGGGATGGGGGATAAAGAGGAGAAGACAGAAAAAAAAAATCAATAAATAAAATAAAAATCAATAAAATAAGAGATAAATCAGGAAGACATTAGAGGATGAGGAACCATAGAAATAGGGGAAAGTGGAACAGGAAGAGGAATAAAAAAAAATATATATATATGGCCAGAAGAGAGAGAGAGAGAGAGAGAGAGAGAGAGAGAGAGAGAGAGAGAGAGAGAGAGAGAGAGAGAGCGCAAGCGAGAGAGAGAAATAAAAACAAGTAACTTTGTCTTGTCTGTCTGTAGAGAAAATAACAAGAGCCCAACTTTCATGTTATATATCTTAATCAGATCAAAAGAGCAAGTAAGAATAAAAGTTAAGAATGAAAAATGCTGGCATCAATTACCAGCAGTTTATTTATATCTAGTTATTTGAGTCACATTCCAGATCATTACTTAATCTTAGTTACTTACAAATGTAACCACCTTGCTTAGTTTATTTAAGATTACCATATAAGAAAAATTAGCTTATGTGATTTTATGCTATGGTATAAAGAACAAAAGAAAGAAAGAAAAGAAAAATCTATTTATAATTTAGAGTATAAATCACATTAAATACCTTTTTTTTTTAAATAACTGGCAGGCAAATTGGTTTAAGATGAACACAAAACACGTACATAAGCCAATGAACGTTACGGGGCATTTAATATAACCGGTAACATCTAACAATTTTTGCACAAGTTATAAATGAGGAAATATATAGCCCTGGCATGGTAAGCACCGCCTACAGTCATGAAATGGTACTTACCCTCTCGTGTACAAATGTCGCATGCTCCCTTCCCACTTGTATTTGAATTACACAGACAGACATTATATAATCATTGTGAATCAAAACTACCACACCTCATGCATATATTTTGTTGCTTGTGGCTAATATGGTCGTAGAATTACCTTTAATAATAGTATAACATGTTGTGGTCTTATTGAGAACTCCTTGGAATGGACAGCGGTTTTAACAGGCATACTACATAGTATTCATAATTTCACTCTAAAAGGATTTCCTAAGAATGATAAAGAATTAAAGTTTCATCAAATAAAAGGTATATTTATCTATAGTTGTATCACAATATCCTCATTTATGCGCTTAATAAAATGTATCTTACACATCCCTGAAATAATAAAGTCCATTTTTCAGTGTCACTAAAATATCATCTATTATGAATTACAATTCTAGTTAATATATAACAAACACAAAGTGAGAAATTATTTTCCTGGTTTCAAAATATTTTCCATCACTATAAGAATAACCATACACTATGCAAGAAACAAATGCTCCTTACATAAATTCAATACCATAAATAATGTTGACATTATTTGTATACATGTATGAATATATACATTTTTTTATTATTATTATTCTTTTTTTTGTTTTACTTTTTCTCCTTTCTTGTTGGTTAGCTGTTTAATGTTAAAAGAAACAAAGTGATCTAATCAAGAAAAGTTTGAAAATCTGAAAAAGGCTGTTTATACATAGTGGAAACAGCTTGATAAAGGAGTAAAATACTAGTACTAGATAACAACTGAATACTTGTGACAATATCACTATAATAACCAATATAAATAAATAAAGACAAATGCCATTATGTATATAAATAACAAGAAAAACAAAGCACCAGGCGGACATTCAATGTTTTTAGTCCTCCATAATTATATTTGTTTTCTATAACAATAATTATAATAACGATACAGAAATCACAAACCTGATGACACTAATACTACTTTTACTACTACTACTACTACTACTACTATCACCACTGGTGCAATTAATATGAAAATGAAATATGAAAAATGATCAATATGATGATGAAATAACAGTGCTAATAATACTTGTGATGACTGCGACACAATAATAATAGCAAAAACAGTTATTTATATATATAAATTATTTCTAATTTAGTTAATAAAAGAATCCCAGAGTCTGCTAACATCATAAATACCAAGACGACCGGAGGTGGAATACCGCGTTCAACCACAAGTCTGCGTCTTTGGCAAGCCCTCATATTCTGTACAAAGCATCAAAGATCATAAAAGTGCAGTGCATAAACAATTTATATAATTACAATAATCATTTAGTGCATTTTCAAGTCACTACTAACTATAGGCCTACTACTACCAAGCTATTGCTAAATACTTTTGGTCAATCGCCCTCAGAATATCAAGCTATCAGGCATCCTCAAATATGAGAGAGTTTTATTAGGCATATCAGTTTTATGACCAAAATCAGCATCTAAGGAAGTGCTCACCACACCCTAGGGATGAAGAGAGTTGCACAATCACCCTTACACGAGCGGGATCATCACTTCCCA